ATATATAATAAAATATCAAACTCAGGACCTTGAGCTTGCCAAACAAGCACTTATTCCACTGAACTATCTTCCCAGCCTCTCTACATTGCATTTGTATAGTGAAAAAACTCATAGATTTTTATTCACTATAATGAAACTGAAATTTAGCTAAAACTTTTCTTATTAAATTACAAACAGAATGTTGTATTGAAGAGATGCTACTTTATAGCCACTTTCAATGGGATGTAAGTGCAATAGAATGTGAGAGAAGGGAAATGAAGACCTTCATTATGAAGCACAGTGGCCACTCCTGCCTTTCTTCAGCTAGCTGTAATTGTGTGTGTAGTACTCGCTCCTAAAAAGACAAGGGTAGAAGCCCAACGCTGGGGTATGACTTTGGAGAAATTAGCTTTCAAGGAAGAGAAAATAATTTTCAAGAGTTTCAAGGATGGTGTCCAAACTGTCCGTCATGACCGCATAACACATTCCTACATAGGTACAACTTGTTTTGTTAAAATTTTCCATTGTAAAAATATCAAGACTTATTGGAACATTTAAGTTTGCCGATTAAATATGGGTCACTTCAAATCAGTTAAATTAATGAAGGTTAGATGCCAAATTTGTAATAAGACTATAGATGAATGGGAAAAATATTTTACTTCCATTTCTTCCTACTTGAAAAGCTGTATGCCAAATAGAGCATATACTTTTATTATTGTTGTTTATTTAAATCACTATTTCTACAGGCTTCTAAAAGTATTTCAGTAGGATCCCAAATAATTTTTATGTTTGATTTTGTGTGAGATATCATGAGCTGTAGGTGTTTAGTAGTTGCTTCTCAGCCTTTTGGCTTAGATCAGAGGTATATGGTTTATAAACAGATTATTTTATATGTATGTAATTACATAGTTCCATAGTGACATGTATCGGTCCTGTGCATTCATTCTATGTTTGATGATGTGCCCAGCTTTCCCTAAATGCCTACAGTGCCATTGCAACTATGGGGCAGCTCTTCCATTTCAGTTTTAATGCCTGTGTCCCCAAGATTTCTGTGTGGATGCTGGCCTCACCCTCATTAGCATATTCAAAAAGTATTTTTAAGGATATTCTCAATGACATGGGCTTTGTAACAAAGCCATCAGAATGACAACTGGCTCCTATTCTCATTGTGTTGAAAGAGACAGGTGCTAAACAGAAAACAAATCAACAACCTTGATAATTTTCACAGTCAGAAATGCTACAAAGAAATACAACAAAGATTATGATGTGATAGAGACACCTGAGCTGGAAAGGGTCACTGGGGAGTTAGTGTGTATGTCAGGAAAGGGCCTGATTCTGATTGCGATACTTGAACTTGGACTTGAACAGTGGAAGGTTTCAGCTATGGGAAGCTGCACAGAACAATGTGTTATAGACAGATGAGATAGTTGTGGAAATGCAGTTACTAAGGAATGACAGTAGATTGTTCAAAAGCAGGCAAAAGTATTGTAGCCAGAGCAGGATAATTAAGTAGTAGAAGAGATCAAACAAGTAGGCAGAGACAAGATTACACGGGGTTCCCAGGGCCATGGAGCAGAGGTCAGCCTGTATTCTGAGTACAATGGAAAGGCCTTGACGGTTTTCAACAGGAAAGTGCTGGGACTTGATGTGAATTTAAGGGTCATTCTGTCTTCTGTTTGAGAAATGGATTTCAAGATGGAAGCAGGTAAAATACTTAGGAGACTGTTAAAGGACTGTCTATATAAGACACCGCAGGGGCACTGGAGTTGAAGCAAAGCAACAGTGACAGCACATCCTCCCTAAGAAGTTCTCGTGGCTTTGCTTTTATAGGAGAGAAAACAAAACAAAGGTGATCTCTAGGTTCTTCACCTAGTTTCTTCACATAAACAATTAAACAAATAGTATCATTTCTATAAGATTTTCTCTTTGTGAGGAGAAAAACATTGGGAAAAAGGTTATTAAGACATTGGAACAGCTCTACTTGTCTGAAGTACCTAGTACTCCAAGGAACATAAGTCAGGAAGGTATCATGATAATCAAGGGTGTGACTTAGGGGAAAGGCCAGGTAGGAGCAGGCATTTGAGTGTAATTTCCATTAAAGAACTGAAAGCAGAAGCTCTTATGAACTCTAGCATAAAGATAACCAAAGAGTAGAGGAAATGATGCTTCTTTAGATCGAATTGAATTTACAGATTAAAATAGCTCCTCTTTCACGTACTGCTTGGGATTCAGTCCCTCTAATTTCTCCTTGCCCTTTTCATAGTACACTATAATTTGCTACTTGGGTACATTTGGTCTTCATAGCATTTAGCTCTAAAATGCTATGTTTCTAAATCATTCTCAGCATCTTCTCACAAATATATCTAAGGGTCTAGGCCATATTATTATGCTAAGCTTATTTGTTGAGAATTATAAGGTATTTTCAAATGAAATGGACAAAAATATCAAGCCATCTTGAAGTTATTATAAATTATCATTAATAGTCAAATGGAAAAAATAATTTTATCATATCTACTCTAGTTGTGAGTGGATAATTACATAATGTAATCATTTTTAATCATTCAATAACAGAGAAAGTTGTTTATTCTGTTGCCTTTTTAAGACAATCTAAAGAGTGATTTAAGGTATAGAAAAAATAAATGTTCTTTTATTTTGTGGTAACATAACAGAATCAAGAAATTTTAACTCTGGAACTAGCCAATTAGACCAAGTCAGTTTTTTAAAAGGGATGAGTCATCTGAAACGAGCACTTGGTCTACTTGGTGTTCAGTGTAGAGTTCAGTGTGCAGCAATATCCCACATAAAAATGTTATTCCAGAATTTTTGGTACAATTTTCATTACCATAGAAAGAATTGAAAAATATTTTTATGCAATTATATAGCTTGTATCTTGTTATGATTTATGTTGAGAACTAAAATCTGATTAATAGATTTTACCCTGATCATAATTTATTTTGAAACATGGACTAAGAAAGCATTTCTCAAAGAATCATCTAATTAAAAGTGAAATTCTGAAGTACAGATAATTAATGAATCAGAAGAAAAAGCTATGTTAATTTTCAAAATTCACATTCATTTATCATAGCTTTATTATTAGCTGACTCTTCCCACATGAACTTCAAAATTTTCTTCATTATAAAATCTAAATTTTAAATCCCGCAAGTGGTTTCTTTAGAGTGTTAAATCTGAATATGCTAAATTAATTGTTAATTAATCTATGAGCTTATTTTTCTTCTAGAAAAAGAATCAATAAAATGAGTTTTTTGATTTACATTGAAATATGTTCAAATGTGTTGGAAATTAAAATATAAATCTCTATTTATAGGTAAGGCCTGCATATTTTATAAGATAATCATGAATGTTCTAATAATATTAAATAATTCTAATCATGTTTAAGTGTATTTAATAAATAACAGTGTGACACAGAGAAGACATCTTGAATTTCAAACCTATATTGAGGTTTTCAGATATTAAAATGATCTCTAATTTCAATTTTATATTATTTGTTATGAGAGGAAAATATGATTTTATTTTGAAAATTTCATACAAGGACTATGTTCTGGCCTAGAGATGTAGCTCAGTGGCATAAGTACCTTCCCAGAAAGCATAACATCCTGAGTTCAATTCTAGGTACCAAAAAATAAAAAAAAAAATGCTCTTATAAAGGAGTCATAAAATTCATATTCCACAAATATATTTTTGAAATATGAAATATGTTTTCTATGATTCTTAAGGAGTATAGCATGTAGTATATGTCCTCAAAAAACTTGGCTGAGTCAATGAATTTTAATAATTATAAAATAGGTTAATTAAATTCTATTTAAATAATGAATACTAACTGTTTTATTTAAATCATAAAAAGAGCAAGCATGGCAGAGAAATTTATGATAAGAATGCCATTTGGAGGAAAATACTACCAGTAACATGTTAAAAACTATAATGGACTATGAATCAGCATTAATTTCAATTTCAATTCTACCACATAACAGCAGAGCAAATGTGACTAAATCATTTACCTTTGAATAAAATAATGTTCAATGTTCTATCATTTATTTAATGGAGAGATCATATCTGATAGCTGTCATTGGGATACCATAGTGGACAACATTATAATATACAATACAAAGCATTGTTCAGAGATTTAAGTAAAATAACATAAAATGGTGGATTGTATAAATTTGCTCTGTAGGTATAAAACATTCATAAAGTGTACAGATTTTACATGATTAATAGTATAACTACTATTCAATGAAATACTCAGTAAACTAAGTTTTTCTTTTCTTTTTTTGGATTACCTGTAGCTTGTGGATTATTAACTGGAACACTTATTTGAAACAATATTTTTCTCTTTTCCATGTGGAAATGAAAGAGGAAGTGCTTATATGCCAGATGTTACTTGAGCAGGGTTTCAAGGAATTTAAGCAAAACCTTCTAGATAAAGTGGCTTAGTATGTATGTTATAATATGTCCTAAAATCTTAGATCAATGAGAGTTTCTCTTTTGTTCAAAGTTGTGTATATTCACCAATCAAGATACAATGGTCAAGAATATGTGTGTTGATGATGCTCTTATGAGTTATTTACTTCGCATACCATAAATAGCGTCTTTCAATTTTAGCAGATTGAACAAATGCTCACTTTTAACATATGCAAGATGTGTACAGTAATGTACACATTGTTTCAGCAGAAGATAAATGCTTCCAGTCTACTCTCTGTCCAGTGACTGAAATCAGGATTTCTGTAAACCAGGTATTTAAGTAACATGGCCAAGCGTAACCAAGGACTTAATGAATGTCACCTATAACTTTATGTGCACAGTTTTTTCTATGTGTCTATTATTGTGGTTGTTGTGTTGTCCATTTTAGATATTGGAGATATAGTGAAGAAATGAAAACCATGGACCCTGGCTATCCCAAGCCAATCACAGTCTGGAAAGGGATCCCTGAGTCTCCTCAGGGAGCTTTTGTCCACAAAGAAAATGGTATGTATTATGTGCATTATGCATGTTAAAGTTTCTACTTCAATAAAACAGTGTTCTTTTTGTTCTGTTAAATGAAATCATTGGAAATCACTGTATTTACCTACATAATATTTATATAGCTAAGTAAATATTTATAAATATATAAATTTTCCTAGATTCCATTTACCATTATGCTCCAGATATTTCTTAAGTGCTACATATTTATTTTGAAAAAATAATTAAAAACTATGTAATATTTTTAAATGGAGGGTATGGAGGCTTTTGAAATAACTTTACTTCTTTTATAAATTCTGTACAGAGGACTGGGCATGGAGATGTATGCCTCTAAATCCAGTACTTGGGAGGTTGAGGCAGGAAGATTGCTGTGAATTCAAGGTCAATCTGAACTATGTAGTGATACTCTGTCAAAAAATACAACAACAATAACAAAACACTGTAAGACAATAATACCAAATGCATGTGGGGCAGGAACCGGCCTTAGGAGAAAGATATCAGTGCAGGCTGAGGGATGAAGACACTTGGTGGTAATGCATGTTAAGGTTATAATATCTCACATATTCTTTGTCACAGCGTTTTGGCAGACAGGAATGATGCCCAGGACATATGTAGGCAGACTAAAGTAGGTTTAAAATTACTTGACAGTGAGAAACAAGACCCCTTGTAGATTATATCTGTCAATTATAAAAACAAATATAACAGACTACTAAAACGTTATCACTCCTTCACCATTGCAGGAATCAATTGCTATAAGAGTTCTTTTCCAATGTAAATTTTTTTAAAATCTAGAAGCTTAAAATTAAGCTACAGATTTGTATGTTTTCATGTTAAGGTGCAATAACCTTCCCTATAATGTCCACCCTGTAATATTGTTTCTGCCTTTTGGGTCAGTGTAATAATCTGACCACCTGGTGTCATTCAGTGTTACTTTGTGTCAACTACATCGCATGAATTCTTAATTGTCTTACACAAATACCTCTTTAACAAACACTTTCTTTAACCAATACTCAGTTTAAATAAATCACTCCAGATAATAAAATTATTAGCATCGATACCTAATTCTTTTTTAAAAAATATTTATTTGATACAGGGTCTCACTCTACAGTTCAAACACACAGCGATCCTCCCATTTTAGGCTCCCCAGGGCTGGGATTACAGGCATGCACCACCACACCCAGTTCCGGAGCCAGCATGGCATGTGGTACTGAGAACTGAACTCGGGTCGTTGTGCTCGCCAACTCTATACTTAGTTTTTGGAACTAGAACATTTTACCCCATGAATGTGCTCTAGTATGCTGTCTCAAAAGATAAAAACATATTGTTCTTTGTTATATTGCTAATAATAATCGGCAGTGTAGTAGACCTGGTTGAAGTTTTCTTGATCCTGCTGTACTCACCCAGGTCTCCTCAGAGCACAGCTTGCTGAGCCATCCTCCTCATGCTAGTCAATGAAACTATCTTAATTTAACAATTTTATTGTTTTCCTTTTTTACACATTTCCTTGCATTTTTCTGCTTCATGTTTAGAGTTCCCCAAATAATTCATCTGAAATGGGGAAAGGGGATTGGAATAAAAGGGGTTTTGTTTTATTTTGGCTTAGTTATTTTAGTACTGGGAATTGAACTCTGAGCCTAGCACTTGCCAGGCAAGAAAAGGAGGAAAAAGAGAGAGAGGAAAAAAAAAACTTGCAAGTTTAGTTATACTATTTGTGTCTCTCGTTTTATAGAACAGGAAAGTTGGTGCTAATGTCAATTGAAGAATTTTTTATGTCCATAGCTTATACACTGAGTAACTGCTTTAAAGATTATAATATGCATTGAATTCTCTATTTTTAATCTCCTGTCATCTTATGAAATTTTATTTAACCTTTTATCCATGAAAAAATTAAAAATTTAATCTATATGAAAATTGATTGATGCAGAATATAGTGGAATAACTGTGTTTTTTAAAAAACTACATGGCAGGGCCTGGGGAGATGGCTCAGTAGAATAAGTACTTGCCTGGCAAGCACAAGGATCTGAGTTCAATCCCTGGTTCTGAAAAAAAAAACAACTACATGAGTTTTAACTATTAAAATTGGGATGAAGAATAACATCCTTCTTCAGGTTTTTGTATTAATATTTATAAAACCATGCCTCTCAAATATTTTCCATTTTCGCTTTCCAATTTTTTTAAACTAAGGGTCTAGTGTTATTGCTGTTTAGTCCCTGAATGTTAGCTTCTTAAAAACAGTTTTAATTTCTTGACTGTTTATTTGATGTGTCAATTCTACATTTTGATATTTAAGCTGTGTTAAAATCTAGAAGCATGGATAATTCGGTAAGATTTTCTTTGTCCATTAACATTCATAAGCACTAAGTAATTTAACCAATAAATATATAAGAGCAGAAAAGACAACAAAAGTCATGTCATTGGAAAAGATCCACTAAGTTATAATAAAGACCAATCTGGTGGATGGGCTCATCGCATTGTGTCTTAGTTACTCTTCATTACTGGGACAAAATACCTGACACCCAAAATTAATCAAGGAAAGGTTTATTTAGCTCACAGATAATGGAGGTGTCAGTCAACACTCAGCTGGCTCCAAGGCAGAGTGGCACATGGCAGAGGGCAGCCAGTGAGGGCTGCAGAAAAGAGCAAAGAACAAAGGTAGAGGCAGCAGCTTCAGGAAGCTCCCAAGCCTCTTTCCCCTCTTACATTTTAATGCAAATTATCCACCCCAGGGTGGGTGTAGCATTCACACTCATAATCCCAGCATTGGATCATGAATTAATCACAACCTGTAGGAGCCACTCGAAGACTGCATAAGGCTTTGGGGGGACGACTAGACACAAACCACAACGCATTGTTAAGATGAAACAAAGCAGAAAGCATCCATTAAGGACCGCTGCCTTAAGAGACAAAATGCCATCAGCACAATACGGCCTCATTATTTGTATTTTCATATCTTCTCCTTTCTTATGGAAGGATGAAGTGACTACAAGAGATGGAACTCAGGGGTGCTCTGACACTGAGCTACATGCCCAGACCCTTCTCATTCTTACTGTGAGACCAAATCTCCCTGAGCTGCCCTGGATACACTTGAACCTGCACTTTCTGGACCAACCTCCTGAGTACTGAACCTGGGATTATAGCAATGTCCCATCACACTTGGAACAAATTTTTTTCTTCTTAATGAGCACAATACATGGAGAAGTATAAAATAAAACTTGTTTTTTTCTTAGTGCAACTGCCTAGATATCTCTTCAACTAACTAAATATTTCATAAATGAAAAAGAAAATTATTGAATGAAATGGATTTTGCAGTATCAATATTTGACATAACTATATTACCACAATTTCAGACTTTTCAGATTTTTGAATTATTTGCCTCATATTGGCAGGATTATAACTTCTAACAAGTGAATTCAGTGACTGCAAAATTTGGCCTGCAAATATGAAAAGGGGAATTTCTTAACTTTTGCATGATGCCCAGTAGCTTTATAGTAATTACCTTTGGCTTAAAATTGAAGATTAGTGCACATTCAGCTGTTAGTTTATAAACATAAAAAGTATGCCCACCTATTTTGAAGATTTGTTTAATTCTAAATCGATGCCTTCCTTCAACTATGATCGCCTAATGTGCTGTTATTTGGCAGGCCCTCAGCAGGTCTTCATCAAAGCTTGTTGAGTAATTACATTGGATTTCATTAGACTGATCAAATACCAGCTCCCTGCAGAAAAATTTGAATCTACATACACCTGTTTTCATTTGGCAAGTTGTTCCTATTACAGAGCTATCCTTTGAAATTAAAAGCAACAGCAGGTTTTTATAGCACTGGAAAGAATGATCTCCAGGATGAAATGGCTTGGCATGATGTTCTATTCTTTCTGAAATTTCATGTAAGAGGTCCCAGTTCTTAATACCAAGAGTTATATTTATTGCAAAGTTTTGATGACTAAATGGCAAAATCAGTCAATATGCAAGCTCTACATTTAGAGCAATATTTAAAGTCTGCTTTCAGCAGAATTTAGAATTTTTTAAATTTTATTTCTGAGCCTCAATATATTTCCCTGAGAAGAATGAATAATTAATTATGACAGGATGATCGTGAGAGTTAAAAGAGATAATATGTAATAAGCTTAAAACACAGTGCCTCTCCAATATGTCCTTAATAAAAAGGGAAAAAACATATTAGAGATTATGAACTGTGAAGTATCCTTTATATTAAAAAAAGGTAGTCTAAGGGCCGGCCAAATAGCTCAGTGGATTAAGGCAGCTGCAAGCAGGTGGAGGGGCTGGAGATTCGATCCCCAGGTCTGCTGTTCCGGCCCTGCCCCCAGGGCACACTGAGAGGGTGATTGAGACTGGGCATGGTCACATGAGCCTGTAAACCCAGCTCTTGGGAGGCTGTAAACAGGCAGATCACTATGAGTCCGATCTAGTAGTGAGACCCTGATCACCCTGTAGAATCTTCCCTAAAATATAGAAAAAAAAAAAAAAAACTAAACTAAAAACTCAATTTTTAAGTAATTGAAATTGCTATGTTCAGTAAAGATGGTATGTGTCTAAAAAATGGGAGGACCATCCCAAGAAAATTGCATATATATGTAGTTTATTTACTAGGAACTTGAAAAGGCTACTATTTGCTGGCATAATACATTGTAACACAGAGTGAGTGATGTGAGCCTTCTATAGAACATGTTGTCCTCCATGAATTATAAGTTACTTAGAAATGTTAAAATTAACATTGTAAATTTGTTTAGACTCTGTTTCTGAAAAGGTTAAGAATGGCTTTCAAAGTTCTCAAAAATAATGCTAGCTAACTAAAGGTTAACATAAACCAAGTAACAAAGTTTAATAGAGAAAAACAATAACGACACCATAGAACCAGAAGTGAGGGTCATACACATGATACTGTAAATTTCTGTTTACCTGTTGGGATCCCTAGTGGAGCAAACACTGGCTGTCTGGTGATTTATGATGATTTTTTGTTCAAATGACAAAACGAAACCTGCTGTTTAGGAGGAGCACACAGATGTCTGATAGTCCAATGATGACAAATTTCCCTTGAGGTGTAAAAATGCGAAAAACCTTTGTTAAATGTATCAAACAATGTCCTCCATAGAAGTCTGAGGGTAAACAGTGTTTCCATTTATAAAGCTGTTTCAGCATCTTTCAGTGTAGGTTGATATTATCACACTAATGTGTAATTCCGTGACAGCACTCCCTCAAGCAAGGAAAAGAATAAAGTTCTCTTTCTAGAGCAGAGTAGGAGTAAGATGCATAGAGTTTGGTCTTGTGCCAGTTCTCTGCAGATAACATTATCCTGCCCTCCTCTTTTCTAAGCTTTCCTCTGGTTTTAGAATACACGAATTCTGAAATACAGCAGCCAAGGCTCCTGCAAAACAACTGATAGTATTTTCTTCCTATAAAATTTAAGTACCTCAAGATACAACTTTTAAGAAGTAGCTTATTTTATTACCTTTTCTAAACTTGTACACTTTTGCAACTAAATGCTGTGCATGTATGTTTTTCTCCTTAGGCTTTACATATTTCTACAAAGGAAAAGAATATTGGAAATTCAACAACCAGATACTCAAGGTAGAACCTGGATATCCGAGATCCATCCTCAAGGATTTTATGGGCTGTGATGGACCAACAGACAGAGATAAAGAAGGACACAGCCCACCAGATGATGTAGACATTGTCATTAAACTGGACAACACAGCCAGCACTGTGAAAGCCATAGCTATTGTCATTCCCTGCATCTTGGCCTTATGCCTCCTTGTATTGGTTTACACTGTGTTCCAGTTCAAAAGGAAAGGAACACCCCGCCACATACTGTACTGTAAACGCTCTATGCAAGAGTGGGTGTGATGTAGGGTTTTTTTTTCTTTCTTTCTTTTCAAGAAGTTTGTGGTAACTTGAGATTCAAGACAAGAGCTGTTATGCTGTTTCCTAGCTAGGAGCAGGGTTGTGGCAGCCTGATTTGGGGCTGACCTTCCAAACCAGAAGGTTGCTGGTCTCGCACATGAGTGGAGACACACTCGTGGGGAAGATTCCATGATGCACAGTATCTGCCGTTCTTCAGTCCTTTGTCTTTCCTTGTCATGCAGTTCTAGGCCTTTCCTCTGCACGCTCAATGCCCAGTAAAATTCCAGGATTACCTAAAGAAGAGGAAGAAAAAAAAAAAAAAGGAAGAAAAGATTCTTCTCATTTTTTTTTAAATATTATTTTCCTTTTGAAGTCTGAGCCCATTTCTGGGACAAAAAAAAATAAAAAATAAAAAGAAGCAAAACAGAGAACCTACTTTTTTTTGCTTTAAAACAAAGGAAAAAAATTTAAACAAAAATTCCACAATTAAACTTTCAGGAAAGTGTGAAGACCCAAAACAGCTTTGTCTCCAAAGAAGATAGCTCGGTAACTGCTATGGATAGTCTCCTGCACATCGTTTTGTCAGGTGGGAGATCTGGAATTCACATGCAGGACTTCAGACTGTTGGGACAGTGATTTTCCAACAAACAAGGGGCCAAAATATCTGCAATATAGTAACAGCCTTAATAATACATCCATTTTTCATTTTCTACAGCTGTTCTCAGCTATGTCCTCGATGTTTCATCACATTTATATTCATAGCTATATTCCAACCAGGCCTTTTAATTGTTTTTGAAGTATTTATAAACCCCTTCTTGCCATCTGAACCCTACATCCTTGTGAGAATCTGCCCAGGTTGTATTAGGCCATTGCCCCAGGCCTTCCATGGGTCTGTCAGGAATATTCATTACAAAGCAGAGCAAAAAGCATTATGTCTCTGAAGTTGATTAAAGTGACCATCATGTTACAAGGATTTATGACTCTTCTAATACATTGGTGTAACCCTTTGAGAACTATCAGACCTGCTTTAAGATTCTTATTATCCAGTGAGAACTAGGAAATGGTAAAATGATCACAGGTTGAAGTTCTGGTTTTGATAACATATCCTCTAATCTCTTGTAATTCTTGAGTGTTTTGCAGCACTACATAAATGCATTTATAACAAACAGAAATGATGTTACTTGCCAAACATTTTCTGGCAAATAAAAATGATATTTTGTTAACAGTACCTCATAAGAGTGAACTTTTGTTTCAACCACTAGCTATACTAACTTTTTTTTTTCCCTTAGACATAATGAATTTTTACTTTGAAATTCACTGCATGAAAATTCAGTTTGCCTTGGTACGATACAGTTAACATTGTCACTTAAAAATGAATTAAATTGATTATTCTGAGATTGCATGAATGTCCTCCAGTGCATTACCTATTGCATGTCAACCATAGTTCTCAAAGGGTTAGTGTGGCTTCTGGCATTTAGCCATCCATTAGATTACTGACAGAGCCAAAAGACCACCAAAGCATTTCATTGTTGAGTGTAATCTGTCCTAACAGCAGTATTGTCATTTTCATGTGACCTGCAGAGCAGGTTTGTATCAATATTTTTTTCCTAGAGAAAAGTCAGCAACTGACAGACCTCTTTATTGATTTTTAGGAGCTGCTTCTTGCAGTGAAAGGCTTTACAGCCACTGGGCTGTGAACTTATTAGAGATGGTGAGAAAGAATGCACCCCATGAGTCAGACATTGGCTTTGTGGGAAAGCCAGCTTTTGAGGGGATTAGCTTTTGAAACAATGAACAGCTTGCCTTGAACTTGATTATTGATCGGTTGACTGTCATTAACAACAACTTAAACATTGTCTTCTGTGAAAACTTTCCTTGAAGAGTCATGTTCTATGTCTTTGCCCTTTGACCTTTAACTTGCAAACTGGCACAAACTGAAGGAATTTTGTTGTGGCTTCTCTGTTGGATTGTGAATTGTTCTCTGAGACCTAGAAAGCACGAGCTGTTTCCCTAGAGCAGAGAGAGGAAGGGTGTTGGCAGTGAGTCTGCGATGGACACTTCGCTCCTTTCATGCACACTCTGAAAAATGCCCTATAGGTAGAAGTGACTCTTTCTTTGCCTTTACTATAATTTCAAGCCTAAGTTCATCATTTTAGTACAAATTATAAAAACTATAGGGGAAAAAAAACCTCAAATACTTGAATGGCCAGTGTGGCTTTTATATAAAGCAGGAATTTTATACTAGTGAAAATTTCTTACTCATTTGCTAATAATACACATTTCCAGATGATTTTTAATGAGTGTAGGTCTACATTCTTATTTGGAAATGGATAGTTTGGCTGCCTTGAATTTATATTTATACTCAACATAGCATGAAAATTAGAATGCCTTTTGGTTACACTACATGTTTATGACTTGGTTGGGGGAAATATTTTCTAACCATGGGTGGCATGCTGGAAGGCCTTGCAGATTGATATTTCTCACAATCTGAGCATACTGTAAATCTAAGGAAGACAAAAGAGAGCAGTCAGCAAAGAGGAATGGCTTCATGGCAAAGCATTATGCAATGCAGACCATATTTTAGCAAGATGTGAAGATCACGAATGTGAGAGGAGAGAGAGCTAGAATCAACCCCGTAGCTTTACTTCAGTGCTTCCATTCTAGATGATGCTGGTATTGTAAAGAGTTAGTCACTGCTGCTGAGCATAGAAAAGTTTATATATAAGCTTGTTTATGTAGTGTTTCCTTGTGGGAGAGTTTAATCCTTTTAGGACCTTGTCGTCTAAAAAAATAAAGACCGGAAACTATATTTTGCTAAAGATAGAAATGAGGAACAGTGTCATTTTGGGACATGTGCAAATCATTGAGGAACTCCATCAATCTGCATTGAAAATGTTTTTCTCTAAACTGAGAAACAGAATAAGCAATCTATTTCCTCTTTATTCATTCATCACAATATCATGACTCATCACAAGACTGTAAGTAAATAAGGGCTAGAAAATAATCATAGCATTAAGAAAGAAGGTGTCTGTCATTTTTCTTGAATCCTGCTAAAAGTCATGGGTAAGATTTGGATCATATTTACTTGAATATGAGATGAGTTTTATGTGATTAGAAAAAGCATAGAAGGTTGCTGTCCTAACTAGAACATTTGTCAGAATGTAAAAATGCAAGGCATAAGAAAATAATAAGTACAGTACAACCACAAACACTGGATTTCCATTTGTTTATTGTATACCAGGCACTTTGTGAATAAGGTTGCTGACTCCTTTTCTGCTTGAGATTTGGAGAGAAGTGTCAGTCCTTAGACAATAGTGAAAGGGAGAGTAATTGATTGCCCTAGCATGTGACAATAGTAATTTAAAAATGATGTAGAACAAATTTACATGGCTCAGCAATGAACTGTACCATTCGGCACCAGTGAAGACATGCAAGTAGCAAACATTTTTCACCTTTGCATCACTAGTCACACAGAAGTTCAGACCTAGCGTTTCCCAGAGAATGTGGAAACACATCCATCCTCACACAAAACAAATTTTCTGTTGCATTATTTCTTATTATCTAATAAAAACACAAATTTTAACCAGATAGTTACCTATATAAAAAGATTATGTAATTTTTATCATTTTAATGAGATATTATTGTTTTGTAAATGATGAACTGAGCTGGATGGAGTATTAAAGTAGAAAATTAGTTTGAAATCTCTAGGAAGCAGTTATTCCACATCAGATTTTTACTAAAAGGTTTTAAATTTAACTATTGGCCCATTTCAGAGCAAAATATCTCTGGACATGGCAGTCATTAGAAGGGAACATAAAGCCTTTTACAATTATAAAGGCTACATAGTGAAATTAAAGAGCATTGCATGTTACTAGCAAAGCCCACTTCTGCTATCAGAAAGAAAGACATTTCTGAATCATATATAAGTTATTAAGTAATGATTATCAACTAAATTACCATGTAAGAAAAGATTGAGACTAATTTACTTAAATAAGCAAATGTTGCTATTCTTAATCAAAATGCCTATAATTTTTTATTAATAAATAATTTGGCTTTTCTTCTACTCTGTACTTAATTCCTTTCAGTGTAATTTTAGAACAATGTACGGATAAAATATCACTCAAATTCCACTGTTAGTTCCAATATATGAATGACGGTGTATATACTGAATCCTAGGGATAATCATGTAATATTTACAAGTGATACGTATTGTGTTAATATCTCTAGTATGGTACAAATACAGACCCGCGCTTTGTGGCTCTTACCGTAGAATAACCAGTGCGTCCATATTGACTAAACTCAGTGTGCTGTTTGAAGAGGAATGGATATTATTTATAAAAAGACTTGTTAAACAAGAGTCATGAAAATGATCTTTTAAAAAAGTTTTTGGAATTATTTCCAAAAACTAATAAAGGTCGTGATTTATTGATAAGTTTCGAGTCTGTGAAATTGTAGTATATACTAAAACAACTTGTTGATGATGATAAGACCTTTTCCACAGACACAGCAAAAAGTTTATTTATTGATGTTTTTAAGAGTGTATTCCAGTGTCACAGATGTCAAACAGAACATGCCGTCTAACCCAAATGTGCAAAACTCAAGTGACTTTTTACAAATAGGTATACAGTCCCAGACAAACCATGAGATCACAAAAAGGTATCAAAGCAAATCATTCTAAAGAGTCTAGTCATTCCATTGGATGTTGTGCACCTTCACAGTACTGATCTATCGCAACCACAGGAAATGGGTGCCAGAGCATCATTATCCAGCTCAGAGGTTCCGTCTTGCCAGAGAAATACCTATAGCTACATCAGAAAACTTTAAAATGAGAGCTTTGTGTAATACAGAAAACAACAGCAAGGGATAGCATCACAACATGGAAGTTAAATAGTTAATACAAATAATTGAGGTGGAGGAGAAGGAGAAGATGAGTCTTTTGTAAAATAGAAAGACACACTCTAACACTCTACTACAACTGGAAACTTTACCTTAGCAAGTCTAAAAATAGTGAAGAAATGCACCTTCAAACTCTTCTCACTAGTGATATATCAATGTATATATTTAGCCAGTGGTCATTAGATATTATCTTCCTAAACACATCTGATACTCATGCATTGCCTTATAGGCCAAAAATGTCAGAAGTAAATGTTCTGTAACCTCACTTGGAAAAGAATATAATGTTAGAAGCCCCTGAGCAAAGCCATCCCCTAGGATAGATTTACCTCAATAGTCATATAATACAAAACACTTGGCATAGTAGCAGAGAAGTTGCCTTAGTGTTTTCATCTCATCTGCCTGTAACCTTTGACTTTAACGTACCCCTCAAATCTTTTCTCATGTTTCCCATTGTTGTTATTTTGCAGTGACTCTAACATAGTTCAGGTTAGATTAATAATGTCCAATTACAAACATCTCTTTCAATATGTCTCT